GCTTTACTGCCTTGCATGGGGTGAAACCGATTAAAAACGTCTACAGAGGCTTGAAATGGAATTAATAAGAATTAATTTCATGAGCAGTTTGAATGACACGCTGACAAATGTTCAAAGGTTACGATCTTGCTTTTGTTTTAAGAATCAAGATTATTGCAAGTAATAACAATAAAGAACAATTCACGTTTTGGGACAGGACACTACAATATAATAGGTAAGTCATTTCATTTCAGAGACAATTCATTTACCTTGTGGTTTATACGTATGCAGTTCCACATAACTAAAACCCTTAAGTATTTATTTATTTACTCCCTCTCAAAAACAAATGTGACACAAGGATATTTTTGTCTGAGATACTTAGTACTCGACTTAAAGTCGTATAATGAGTGATTTAAAATGTGTACGGTTCTTTCGACTATTACCTCAGGTATCAGAATGTGACCATGAAATTGCCTATCTGCCATGGGGAGGTGCTGCTGCGTACAGATCCTAGGACACTAGGTTTTCAGTTAAATATTTGTTTTCAGTCCTGAAAGGTCAGCAACCAAAGAGAATTATTTTCACAGTCATCCGATTCACACTCCTTTCTGGTCTTTTAAACAGGAATAGGAGATTTTCCTTTGATTTCTGTTTAGAATTGGGTTTCCGGTCCCTTCTAAAGTCTTTTTCATTGTCTTTCATTGCCTGTGGCTCGTTGCGTCTTAGTGGCATTATCGCCTTGCTTGGGGTGAATTGATTAAAAAAATCCTTGAAAGCGATAAAGCACGTATATCTCCATCTTCACAAATTCAACAATACCGCGTTGCAATGCGATTGGCTCTTTAAGTCATACTACTTTTTATCCAATCAATATTGATTCGCAAAGGTATTCATTGGTTAAAAAATATATATTCTTTTGAAAACGCAGATATTTCAAAGCTTGTAACTTTCAAAGTATCAAAAGAATTAAAGATCTATTTCGAACACACATACACACAAACACAAACACACACACAAGCACACATGCACACACATGATAACACACACGCTCATATGTTTAAAATACACTTTTGTAATGTCGCAGATTATGTTCATATCTATAGACGCATGCACAATTCTTTTTCTACGCAATCACACACTGACCAATGTACACGCTCAGGCATGAACTTTACAGAAATCCGTAATTATGAAGAATTAACGTTAAAAATAAAATTAAAAAAAAAAATTTTGTAGAAATCAAAATGTCGGTTCCGGAATTATTTGAGAAAGAAAAAAAGGAAAGAGATAGATAGATAGATAGATAGATAGATAGATAGATAGATAGATAGATAGATAGATAGATAGATAGATAGATAGATAGATAGATAGATAGATAGATGGAGAGAGAGAGAGAGAGAGAGAGAGAGGAAGAAAACAGTCACACACAAACAATATTTTTACAACAGTTTACAAACACATGCATACAATTGACACTTGCGCTCATAACACAGACGCACGCACGCACACATATGTACAAACACACACGTGCACACATACATGTTGACACTCATGATGAAGCCAACGCCCTTTTCTATCTGTACGCTCAACCTAACAAGCAATAACAAAATACAATAATAAAAAAAACAACAACATGAAAGATTTTTTTTCCTCGCAATCAATCAGTGGTACTCTAGGATAAAGAAAAATAGCACTTTTCATAACTACTAGTGTCTAATTATGGAGAAAGATGCATTTACTCATGGCTCCGACAAGGTGTAAAGTGGGGAGTGGATGTAATGGTAGTAAATATGGAAAGAAAGAAAGAGAGAGAGAGAGAGGGAGTGAGAGTGAGAGAGATTATGTGTTGTTGGTCTCCGATGTTACCGTCTGACCTCGTGATGCGTTTTATTCCTAACCCAGTAACACTTAAATCTCGTTATTTTTCTTTTGCGTACACATTTACAGCGGCTGACACATACACATACACACGCATAGGCGCGCGTGCGAAAAAGAAAGAAAGAAAGAAAGAAAGGTTGAGAAAGAAAGAAAGAAAGAAAGAAAGAAAGAAAGAAAGAAAGAAAGAAAGGAAACATAGACAACTATCATCACAGACTTACACATTGACTTGTGTCTTTTTGTGTCTATCGTCAGTTCATTTCGCAAATAGCACTGGCAGTTTTATGTACAGATACTCTCATGAGATTTGTATTCCCACCCCACAATTTTTTTTTTAATTTTTAAATTTTGGTTTTCACATAGTTTCAAATCGGGTAAGATTTTTTTTTTATTGCATAGTGAATGGAAATGCATTTCTATGCATCCCAAGGCAAAAACCTACTCGCGTGTTTGACGAGAATAAAAATGTAAAATGTATATATAAGTGTGTGTGTGTGTGTGTGTGCGAGTGTGTATGTGTGTGTGTAAAGACTGCCCATTTTTAAACCAAGTGTGGTGTGTATTTTATGTGTGCGCTTGTGTGTAAAGTGAAACCACATACACATTCATATCATAGACACACTTCTTGACTTCCTTCCATAAGTTTATGTATGAATGAATAAAATTGTGTATGTCCGCGCGCACGTGCGTGGTATCCGCGCATTCGAAACCTGTCCAAAATCAACTTTTTAAAGCACTACTAAACAGGTATGCGTGTATGTCGGTGAGTATGCCTCTGTGTGTGTGTGTGTGTGTGTGTGTGTGTGTGTGTGTGAGTGAGAGAGAGAGAGATAGAAAGGGAGAGAGTGATGGAGATAAAACAACAGAGAGAATGACAAAATAGGGATAGTGTAGAATGTACCCCCTCTCCCTCTCTCTCTCCCTCTCTCTCTCACAAGAAAATATTTTGTCGGACTTGCTTTCACTGGAGATGAAGTTTTTTTCTTTTCTCTCGGTGTTACCTGTAGTAATACCTAACTGTAATAAACCTACCTGTAATTAATAAAATAAAATGAATAAATGATAAATGAAATATTAAAGAACAAAACAAAAAAAATTGCTGTTAGTATTCTGTCGTCGACGCGAACGTATTATTTGCTGCTGTCGGAGTGGAGTGTCATTACCAGGGACCACGACTGTCCTAACCTAACCAGGAACCTAACCCTCTAGCCCTAGCCCTAGTCCTAAGGCTTCTCACCACATTCCCTTGCATAAAGCGCACGCTATAAGATAGATAGATAGATAGATAGATAGATAGATAGATAGATAGATAGATAGATAGATAGATATGAATAGACTGAGATAAATAGATAGATAGATAGATAGATAGATAGATAGATAGATAGATAGATAGATAGATATGAATAGACTGAGATAGATAGATAGATAGATAGATAGATAGTAGATATGAATAGACTGAGATAGATAGATATACAATAATAGATAGATAGATAGATAGATAGATAGATAGATAGATAGATAGATAGATAGATAGATAGATAGATAGAAGACAAGAGAAAATTGAGCTCGAATTAACACACGCACACACACAAATACACACACACAATAAACATAAAAATAATTAACTACACACAAAAAAAAACACACTTATTTAAAAAAATAGCCACTTTTGATGGGTCTTCGTAAAAAGCTAAGAATAAGATTCATTCGAAACACAAACACACCTATTAAATTAATTTTGTATCTGATTGTGAAAACAAATGTTATATATTCAACAAATACACACCCAGGTGGTTACTTTGTCAGCACGCACACATTTTCAACTAGCTGGCTTCTCTTGACATCTAACTGGAAATTCTCAGTGACAGACCAGTCCGCACATAGCCTCTCTCTCTACACTAGCAAAAAAAAAAAACAAACAAAAAACGAAAAAAAAAAAAAAATACTTTCGATACGACGGTCAACGCGCGAGCGGGCGCGCACACACAGACACACACACACACACACACACACGCACCCAAAGGCACATACGCATATACGCAAGAAGTTAAATAGCCGTACGATATTCGTAGTAGTCGTATATATAGCAGTACTAAACTACTTCGATGATGACATTAAAGACATGTATGTTATGTAAGACATTACATTGAGTGAATATAATAATTACACAAGTAGTGGAGTTGTAAGGCAATCTCTTTTTGATTTATTTGGGCTGGGCCAAATTTGGCACAAGGCAACATTCAAGGAGCACCAGGTGCGTGTCGAACACAGATTTTATTTTATTTTATTTTTTTTACGACTTCATTGCACTTTCACTACTTTGGAGTGAAACAACTTTTTTTTACACGTGTTATCTTTTCTTTTTTCTTTTTTTTTTTCTTTTAATACGCGTGTACCCATTTCAAACACACACGCACGCGCGCGTGCGCGCACGCAGATATCATCTTATACACAGTTAAGAAGAAGAATCAACACTCACACTATGATGTGTACCCACAAAAAAACTTATGGACACTACGAAACACACACTCACATTTGAGTCTTGACTAACTTGACGTAATAATGACACGTACACACACACAAAAAAAGAAAATTTTTCTGACATGTCAAACAAACGTAAACAAATTTTGGTGAAAAACCACTGTCCTTTGCTTTGGCGAAACAGAGTCTTCCGATAAATAAATTACATTTAGAAACCTTGCTTTCTTAGGTAAAAAAAAAAATAAGTATTTTTACTTTAACTACACGAAATAATTTTAAAAAAGACAATCGTTTTCGATTTCCTCCACTCCCAACATTGATTAAACTAAAAAGTAAACTAAAGCTTTAAAAAATTAATTTAAAACTAAAAGCCTAATGTTTTCTTTTAACACTGGTTATAAACAGTCCCTTTCTATTGCACTGAGAGTCAAGTATTTCCCAATGTCTGCGGTTACCACCTGTGTGTTACAAAAAAAAGGTATTTTGTTTTAGAGTGGGTATATTCCTGTTTTTTCCAATGTTCTATCAGACTAAAAAAAACAAACTTATTCAATAATCCACAACATATGGATACTTATTTTGCCTTTCACACAGGCGTGCACACTTACACACTAACAATTTAACATTCATGTACGACAAACTGACACTTACATAGATACACGCAAATGTTGGTAGTTAGTTATATACAGTTAGAGGTGCATGTACGTTGTTTTTCCTCTCTTTTTCTATCTTTACTTCCCTCATTGAGTTTCTTTGTCGCTCACTCGCCCATCCTTTCCACCTCTGATGGAAGTAGGTAGGTGTGTCCACGGAATCACCCGGATGTAGGGGCGTGAATACGTTGTTATAACATGGCGGATGTAGTGAAGATCAGGTCTTCCGTACTGTGTCATAGAGATTATATTTGGGCTATAAGCTTTTTTTCTAGACAAGAATCGACCTTGCCGTCAGTTAATACACCGAGGTAAATACTTGTAAAATTTTAGGGTAAGTGATTTTATTTCTTCTGAATGTTAGTACTATTATCGTGTTTTATTATATTTTATTTTCATGTCTTGTCTGTATATATATATTTTTTATTTATTTTTTTTTTTCGAATATTCAACTAAAATATGTGTAACGAACAGGCGGGTGTGACAGAGAAACAATACTACAAAAAATTTTTTAAAAATACTTATTTTTTTAAAAAAAACTCCACTTTAACAGACCTTTAAATCACTTAACACCACTGAGTTAGATATAGATAGATATAGATATATATACACGAAATTTATATACATACACTTACTTAGTTTTGAAACAAACATTTACAAAGTCAAAGAAAAAAAGAGAAAAAGAAAGAAAGTGACGGTCACTTCAAAAAATAGTTACATATTTTATGTTCACTATACTAGTTTTATTATAGGTAAAAAGTAAAATACTTAACGAGTTACACCGATGTGCCATACACGTGTATCAACATCTACATGGGTCTTCGGTTTACTACCCCCTACCCACCCGAAATCGGTTTTGAAAGGGTTTTTTTTAGAGTTTAGAGACTAAAGGAATGTTGATAAAACAAATAACGAACGGTGGCTCTTTAAATTTATTTAAGTCAAATTTGTTGCTTCGTAGAGAAAACTTCTCGTACACAGGTTTTAAAAACAAAGTTGTTTTTATATATATATATATATATATATAGAAGTAAAATTAAATGTGTGAGTTGACCGCGTGTCGATACCTACATGGGTCTTGTTAGCTTATTTTCCTTCAAGGGGAGTGTAGATTAAATAAAGTGTGTGTGTGTGTGAGAGGGGGAGGGTGACACTTAAAAAATACTTAACTTTTAAATAAGGTTTTTTGAGTGTTTAGCTAAAAAGAAGACCGACTTTTTACTTATTGATGTTCCCACATATACGTCAACATCTACATGGGTCTTCGTTTTTCTTTATATATTTTTTTTTAATCATATATGTTTTGAAGAGGATTAGGTGACACTGTAAAAAAAAAAAAAAAGGGTGAAAACAAAACTAATTTTTTTTTTTTTTTTTTTTTTTAGAAGTTCAATTCCGTATGTATTTGTCGTGTGTCAACAGCTACAGGGGTCTTTGCTAGAGTATCCTGTCTTTGGTTTTAAAGTGTTCATCAAGACAGGAGTATGTAAAAAGTTGTAGGGTACACTTTACTCGTCGGGTTTTGTTAGTGGCTAAGATTAAGAACCACTTCACGAGAAGTTACTGAGGCACCTCTACCTCCCACCCCACCACCAGTATTTATCGACATCAACATGGGCATTTACTCTGTTTCTTCCTCTTTGCTTTTAGAAGAGAAGGGGTGTAGATAGAGAGAAGGCTTAACATTTCTATCGTAAAAAATAAATATATACTTAATTTAAAAAGAAGAATGTTGCTTTAAGTTTAATAATGTTGTTAACTCTCCTCCCCTTCTCAAAGTATGATTTAATAACAGAGAGTGAGTACAAAATATATAAGTGGAGTAAATAGACGTTTTAAAAACAACTTATACAAAAATGAAATGCATCCTCATTTCTGTTGTAACTTGTAACTCTTCGATTTTGTTTTTTTTTTTTTAAACAGTGGAGGATTAAGTAAATGGACTAGTAAAAGACACTTTTAAAACTTTAATAATTGGACATACATAACTTTTTCTAATGATTCAAATATGATGGGGGTGTAATGAGATAAAAAGACACTTGTTCTGGAGTTATTCTTTAAAGCTTTATGAAACAAGAAGTCGGAATTAATTCCACTAAGTCATCTTTGTTTTTTTATAATTTTTAAGAAGAGAAAGAGAAGGAAGAGAGATAAAAAGGAAGTGGCTTTTAAAGTCGTCTTTTAAGAGGAGAGGAGAAAATGTACAAAGAGAAAAGGAATTAAATCAGTGAAGAGAGTGATAAAGAAAGTGTAAGGAGTTCAATGTGGGTATTTACTTGGTTAAGCCGGAGAAATGTTGGAGAAGTGAGTATTTCGTTAAGTTTTGATGTCCAAAAAGAATGGAAGGTGATATATATATATATATATATATATATATATATATATATATATTTTAATTAATTCTGTAAACTTCTTTTTCTATTTTAATTCTCGCCTTATTCAAAAGTGTAAGAAGTTGTTACTTCTTTTAGTTGAGTACGTGTACTGTAATTATTTCTTTTTTTTCTTTGATTTAAAATCTTTCTTCTCTACTTATAAACAACTTTCTCTGTTTTTCTTTAAATGTCTAAGACCACTTATCTCAGTAGATACACTTTCTTTAAGGCTGTTTTTATTTTTTTATAATACTTTCTTTCCCTCCTGCAACTCTCTATCTATATAGAAACGGTTTAGCAAAAATAAATACTAATTTCTTTATTTACTTTCACTTTATAATTATTTACCCTTTTTTAATAACTATTCTTATTTTTATTCTTTTTCTCAAAGATTTCAAAACAATTCAATTCAGAAAATACATTCTTGTTTATCTAACTCACATTTTAGTACTCTTTCTAACTTTTTTATTTTTTCCTCCTTACCTTACTCCTTTTATAATTATTGTATTTTTAGTGACTCTCTATACACTACACAGTGATCTAAAATGTTTGAGTTCAATAAATGCCCAACCCACTTTTTTCAACATTCATATCTATTTTTCTTTTTTTTCTTATAAATTTAATGATTCCTTATCCCTCTCACTAGCTTTTAATTGTTTTTCTCTCTTTAACCCATGGTATTTCTTTTTCTCTTTTATTTATTTAAAGGTGGCTGAATCCAATGAGTACCTCTTGTTTGTTTCTTTTTTTTTTTTTTTTTATAACTCCTCTCTTATTGATTTCTTCCCACTAGCTTTAAATCCTCTCTCTCTCTCTCTTTCTCTCTCTCTCTCTCTCTCTTTCTCTCTCTTAGCCACTGTATTTTTATTCCGCTTTTATTTAAAGGAGGCTGAATCCAATAAATACCCAACGGCCTTTTCTCCACCCTCATTTCTTTTTTCCCTTTCTTTTTTTATAACCCCTCTTATGTATGATTTTTTACTCTTCCCTTTAGCTTTTAGTCCTCCCCTGTCGCTCTCTCTCTCTCTCTCACCAACTGTATTTCTATTCCTCTTTCATTTATTTAAAGGTGGCTGAATCCAATAAATACCTAATGCTCTTTTCTACACCCTTATTTCTTTTTTCCCTTTCTTTTTTTTATAACCCCTCCCTCTCATGTATGTTTTCTTACCCTTCAGATTAGCTTTGAACCCTCTCTCTCTCTCTCTCTCTCTCTCTCTCACCAACTACATTTCTATTCTTTTATTTATTTAAAAGTGACTGAATCCAATAAATACCTAACTTTTTTTCTCCACCCTCATTTTTTTATAACCCCTTTCTCTCATATATATTGATTTCTTACCCCTCATGCTAAATTTCAATTCCTTTTCTCTCTCTTTTACCCACCGTATTTCTCTTTTATTTATTTTTTAAAAAGTGCCTGAATCCAATAAATACCTAACTCTCCATTCTCCACCCACATTTTTATAACCCCTCTTTCTCATATATAATGATTTCTTACCCTCCCCACTAGCTTTTAATCCTTTCTCTCTCTCTCTCTCTCTCTCTCTCTCTCTCTCTCTCTTTATTTCTATTCCTTTATTTATTTAAAGGTGGCTGATTTCAATAAATACCTAAATCACCACCCATTTCTTTTTTATAATCCCTTTTTCTCATATATAATGATTTCTTACCCTCCCCACTAGCTTTTAATCCTTTCTCTCTCTCTCTCTCTCTCTCTCTCTCTTACTGACTGTATTTCTATTCCTTTATTTATTTAAAGGTGGCTGATTTCAATAAATACCTAAATCTCCACCCACATTTCTTTTTTTATAATCCCTTTTTCTCATATATAATGATTTCTTACCCTCCCCACTAGCTTTTAATCCTTTCTCTCTCTCTCTCTCTCTCTCTCTCTCTCTCTCTCTCTCTCTCTCTCTTACTGACTGTATTTCTATTCTTTTATTTATTTAAAGGTGGCTGATTCCAATAAATACCTAAGTCTCCACCCACATTTCTTTTTTTATAATCCCTTTTTCTCATATATAATGATTTCTTACCCTCCCCACTAGCTTTTAATCCTTTCTCTCTCTCTCTCTCTCTCTCTCTCTGACTGTATTTCTATTCTTTTATTTATTTAAAGGTGGCTGATTTCAATAAATACCTAAATCTCCACCCACATTTCTTTTTTATAATCCCTTTTTTCTCATATATAATGATTTCTTACCCTCCCCACTAGCTTTTTAATCCTTTCTCTCTCTCTCTCTCTCTCTCTCTCTTACTGACTGTATTTTATTCTTTTATTTATTTAAAGGTGGCTGATTCAATAAATACCTAAATCTCCACCCACATTTCTTTTTTATAATCCCTTTTCTCATATATAATGATTTCTTACCCTCCCCACTAGCTTTTAATCCTTTCTCTCTCTCTCTCTCTCTCTCTCTTACTGACTGTATTTCTATTCTTTTATTTATTTAAAGGTGGCTGATTCAATAAATACCTAAATCTCCACCCACATTTCTTTTTTTTAAATCCCTTTTTCATATATAATGATTTCTTACCCCTCCCCACTAGCTTTTTAATCCTTTCTCTCTCTCTCTCTCTCTGTCTTTTCTATTCTTTTATTTATTTAAAGGTATTTCTTCAATAAATACCTAAATCTCCACCCACATTTTTTTTTTTTAAATCTTTTTTCTCATATATAATGATTTCTTACCTCCCCACTAGCTTTTAATCCTTTCTCTCTCTCTACTCTCTCTGTTTTCTTTTATTTATTTAAAGGTGATGATCTTACCCTACCCCTCTCCACCCACATTTTTTTTATAATCCTTTCTCTATATAATGATTTCTTACCCTCCCCACTCTCTTTTTCTCTCTTTCTCTCTCTCTACTAACTGTATTTCTATTCTTTTATTTATTTAAAGGTGGCTGATTCCAATAAATACCTAAATCTCCACCCACATTTCTTTTTTTATAATCCCTTTTTCTCATATATAATGATTTCTTACCCTCCCCACTCAATTTCAAATCTTTTACTCTCTATTCTGCCCACTGTATTTTTATTTCTCTTTTATTCATTTAAAGGTGGCTGAATCCAATAAATACCCAATGCTCTTTTCTCCACCCTCATTTCTTTTTTTCCCTTCCTTTTTTTTATAACCCCTCTCTCATATATAGTGATTTCTTACCCTCCCCACTATCTTTTAATCCTTTCTCTTTCTTTCTTTCTCTCTCTCTCTCTCTCTCTCTCTCTTTATTACCAACTGTATTTCTATTCCTCTTTTATTTATTTAAAAGTGGTTGAATCCAATAAATACCTCTCTCCATTCTCCACCCTCATTTTTTTCATAACCCCTTTCCTTCTTATATAATAATTTCTTACCCTTCCCACTAGCCTTTAATCCTTTTTCTCTTTCTCTCTCTTTTACTCACTGTATTTATGTTCTTTTATTTATTTATTTATTTATTTAAAGGTGGCTGAATCCAATAAATACCTAATTCTCCTTTCTTCACCCTCATTTATTTCTTCTTTTTCTTTTTTTTTTAATAATCCCTCTCTTATATATAATGATTTCTTACCCCAACCACTTTCAGTTTTTTGTCTCTCTCTTTTCTACTATTTCAATAGGCAAGATGGCTTAGCTTAGTAAAAACAAATTTACAATTTTTTCCTCACTATCCCTTTTATGATGATATTGTCGTTATTTTTGTGACTTTTTCTAATCGTCCTGCCCTATCTACTGTCATTTTTATGACATTTTAAGATTATATTGCTACTCCCCACCCACTTGTGACATTTTCAAGCCATTTTGCTCTTTTCAGTTCTCTGTGTCATTTTGCTGTCTTTACTGTCTCCTTTGTGACATTTGCTGTTTATTTTTATGCTCATTTGCTTTCTCTTTTGTGATGTTTTCCAACTGTCTTGTCCCCACCCCTTGTTCTTTCTTTTGTGACATTTACTAACTAGCTGACCTCTTCTTGTGACTTTTTTTTTATGTCTTTTCACTTTCCTAATGACCTTTGCTTTTTTTTTTTTTTTTTTTTTACTTTACACAAAAACCAATATAGTTAGTATTTACTTGGTTAAGCTAGTTTCTAGACTCTTAGAGAATGGAGAGATGTTATTAAGAAAGAAAAATGCAAAACTAAGAGAATGAGATCGGTGATTATTCCCATGGTTAAGTAGGAAGCAAAAACATTAGTCGCAAAAATAGAGTATAGCAGAGCATATATTTATTTGACTTGGTCTTGTGTGGTTTAAAGAAATCACTATGTTAAAAACACAAACAAAGAAAAAAAAAGGAAAAATTTTGTATTTACTGGGATAATTTGTCTTGGACAATAAGACAAACAAGAAATAAAAATAATGGTTTCAATCTCTCTTTCCTTCCATATATAATTCATATATATATTTCTCTTCCTTATATCTACTTTAGGATGTGTGGATGTTATAATGGCTATTGGTACCAAGATTAAAATTAGTAACCAAATTCAAATTACATCCCACTTTGTTGTGTACATTTTTGCTCAAATGCCTTTAGGAAATGCATGAATCCATCTGTTTCCCACCAGTTAAGGGTTAAATAACAATACAGACTGGACTTCTAAGACTTGAATGGCAGTCATCATAGGAGAAGGATTACACTAAATTCAAAACCATGGTGAAGACAATAGAAAAATCACTTAACTATTTTGCTAAGAAGTCACGAAATTCACAGATAATAAAGAAAAAGGATGTGTGGATAGCCATGATTTTTTATATCCTGAAATACAGTAAAAGCCTTTCTTTCTTTTTTCCCTATATAGTATAAGTTCTATAAGCACTTTATTATAAATTCTTTATGTACTATTTTGTTGTACTCTTTATATTCTTATTCCTTTTTATACTCTCCTTATGTCGTACATTGTTATACTTTCTTTATGTAGTACTTTATTGTACTCTATGTAGTACTTTGTTGTACTCTTTATATTCTTATTCATTTTTATACTCTCTTTATGTAGTACTTTGTACTCTCTTTATTATTCCTTTTTATACTCTCTTTATTCATTCTTATACTCTCCTTTGTTATACTCTATGTAGTACATTCTTAATGTAGTACTTTGTTGTACTCTCTTTATGTAGTACTTTGTTGTACTCTCTATATTCTTATTCATTCTTATACTCTTATGTAGTACTTTGTATTCTCTTTATTCTTATTCTTTTTTATACTCTCCTTTGTTATACTTTATGTAGTACTTTGTTATACTCTTTTTATTCTTATGTAGTACTGTATTATACTTTCTTTATGTACTACATTGTACTCCCTTTATTCTTATTCATTCTTATGCTCTCTTTATGTAGAACTTTGCTATAATCTCTTTATGTTGTACCTTGTCATACCTGGCTTATATATTCTTCATAGACACTCTTTGTTTTTCTATTTATTTTTTTGTGCTTTACCTTAAAGTCGAACAGATTTTCCCTTCTATTTCACATTATTCATTCTTTCCGCATTCTGTGTACTCATTTCTAACACTTTTTCCTCTTTTCTATTGTCCCTGTGTAAGTATTTACCTCCTTGATTTCTTCCGCATGTACCTCCTTTTTCAAACTCTCTTCCTATTTTGACATCTATATGTAGTCATTTGCAACACTCTTTCCCATCTACAATCTCTTAGTACTTTTTCCACTCCCCCTCCCCAAAGTCCTGGGTAAGACGATAAACTACATCCAGTAGGGCGTTTTGAGGAACGTGGAACCATCTCTTAATTGACCCGGGGTGTTAGCACCTGTCAGGGTCCCAGCTATGGGCAAATAGTTAACCCCCAAACTGGGCTCAAAACACTATGATAGTGTAAAAATAGGTTTTTAATACCAGCCATACATTTTTAAAAAAAAAAAAAAAATATTACCAGCAATAAAAATCTTGTTGGCATTAAATAACCCATTGAGACTGATATGCCATAAAACAAACCAAACCAAACCCAGTTTTCCCCCCTATCTGAACCTCCTGTTCCCAACCCTGACTTCCTCATCTGACTCCCCACTGAGAGAGGGGTTATAAAAAAAAGGAAGGGAAAAAAAGAAATGAGGGTGGAGAAAAGAGCATTGGGTATTTATTGGATTCAGCCACCTTTAAATGAATAAAAGAGAAATAAAAATACAGTGGGCAGAATAGGTGTAAAAGGGCATTTAGGAAGAAGTACACTGAGATAATGCCCTTTTACACCTGTTCCCTTTGTACTCCTTCCTTACTCATTTATGTGCTTTATATATCTTCCTCCATCAAATGTACTCCTTTCTTATGCTGCCACCACCACCACCACCACCATATGTATATTTTTGCCTCCTCCTCTTCTCCTCATCCTTCTCTACTACTTCCTAATATTATCCTCACTTCCATCTCTTCCTCTCTTTTTCAAATTACTTAACCCAGTTAGTGGGATTTTCCCATTTACCTAAAGCTATATACCTGTTCCTCTTTCTTTATTCTCACTTGCACTCAGGTCTCTCTCTCTCTCTCTCTCTCCCCATTCCCTTTCCCTCCTGAAAACTAAATGAGAGTTTAGCCCAGTAAATCCTCACTTGGTGTTCTTATTTAAAAATAGTATACACACCTTTACATATGTCTCAATTTCTATAACTTCATCTCACTTTCCGAATCATTTTAAGATAGGTGAAGTGAAAAAGCGTGAGTATCTATCTATCTACATATGTATGTATCTATGTATGTATGTATCTCTCTATCTATCTATGTATGTATGTATGTATGTATGTACCTATCTATGTATGTATGTATGTATCTATGTATGTATGTATGTATCTATCTATGTATGTATGTATGTATCTATCTATGTATGTATGTATCTATCTATGTATGTATGTATGTATGTATCTATCTATCTATGTATGTATGTATGTATGTATGTATGTACCTATCTATCTATGTATGTACCTATCTATCTATGTATGTACCTATCTATCTATGTATGTACCTACCTATCTATCTATGTACCTGTCTATCTATGTATGTACCTGTCAATGTATGTATGTATGTATCTATCTACGTATGTATGTATCTATCTATGTATCTAGCTATGTATGTATCTAGCTCTGTGTGTGTATAGCGCTCTCTCTCTCTCTCTCTCTCTCTCTCTCTCTCTCTCATATATATATACACTGGGGAAAGTTTTCTTGTGCCACATTTTGTTCTTTAGGTCATCATCAGACTAAATTTGTTATGTTGATGCAACTATAAATACACATGGATGAGAGGGTGCTGCAAATTTAAAATTTTTTATTCTTTTTTTAAATCTATCCAATTTCATTTAGATTCTTTTTCTTTCGATCACTTTTGTTTGTAGATGTCCCCCGCCCACACACTATGGTAACAGAATTCTGCAACTAATGGTGAAATGTTTTAAGAGCTCAGGTGCAAATTTACTGTATGCACTATATTAATCTGTTGTCTATTTTTGCTCTAGGTTTTTTTGGGGGCGTTGGGGGATTCTTTACAAAAATCTGATCACCTTTAAACAAATTAAATTTTATGTGTTTTATTAGAATTTATTAATTTGTTATTATATATGTTTATGTATATGAAAACACACACACACACACACACACACACACACACACACAGAAAAAAAAAAAATTTCTAAAGACTTAATTGACATTTTTCATAGATGAGCAGTCAATAACACCAAATCAAATGTTGGTTTCCCCGACAAAGTGGAACAAAGGTACCCCCCAGGACACATTTTCTTTAATAGTATTTATCAAATACCTGCACAGGCATAATACATACTGTTTAGTAAATAAAAATGGAGCATTTATTTTGAATACAAAGTGTCCACTGTAATATATAGTATAAGATGACAATTGGAAAAGAAATCAAAAATGTGTTTTGTCTTCTGACTCTTTCAAGGCAAAAATAAAATCGAAATGTTTTTGCTGTTAAAGTTATATATGATAATATATAGTTATTATAGTTATTGTTGTCATAGGTCAGCTGTCAATATACCACATAACACCCTTAGTCTTCGAGCAGGTAGAATGGAGATCAATGTGTTTTAGTGGACTCAAAAGTTTTCAATCTGCTTTTCTGAATCATCTTAAAGAAGCAAGAGCAAAAACTAAAAGGTCAGCCAATCTAACAGTGATCTCATCTCACAATCCTCACTCTTGCTCCATATGTGGCTTCCTTTGTAAATCACTAGCAGGTCTTAAATGCCACTTAAGATTATCACACAAAATTTCATAACTGAATCAATTAAGCTGCCAGTTCCTCATACGTCAAAACCAACAGGAGAGTCCATTATATATATATATATATATATATATATATATATATATATATATATATTTGATTTGCTGTTAAAATTAGCATACATTGATGAAATAAAAATGTCCCAAACTTATTAAAAAGAAAATTTTCTCATCAAAATCTTTGTTATTAAAAAGGGAAGACCAAAGGATTTTTTGGTCATTAAATTTTTTGAACCTTTTTTGAATGTTTGAAATTTTAATTAAATATCTTTTTTACTTTATTCTTTTCTTTTTTTTATATCAGTGGGTGGTGGTGCAAAGATTAGTGTAGGAAATTTTAACATCTTTTTTTTGCTGTGAAAAACACATTGATTTGGAACTTCTTGCAAAAATCAAATAATTGTCAGATTTTATGTAAACTTTCAGGACTTATCAAAAGTATCGATATTTTAGAAATGTTTTCTTTAGAAAATCTTGGTAAAATATTTTTTTATATCTGTTACCCTCCACTTATTTGATTTTAAGAAATTTTGAGAAATTTATTTTTGTATAAGTTATGTTTTTTATTAGTTAAAAACAGAAGTCTTTTATAAATTTAAATCCATCAATTTCTTTTTTTTGAGAAAGGTTCCAATATACACCAAAAATCTGCTCTGAATTGTAAAATAAAAATGCAATAAAACTAATACATTATTTAATGAGAATTGCTCTTATGAGTAAAGAGGTTATGCTATATTGTTATTAAGTAAAAACTGGATTTACTAATCATAAATGGAAAAGCTTATTAAAAGTTAGTGACCCCCAATATTTTAAAAAGAACTTTTATTTTTTTTGTGTGTGTGTGTATGAATTAAAGTTCCAATTTAAAAAAAAATTTTATTTTTTTTTTTTTTAAATATACATTATCAGAAAATATTTTGTAATAATATTTTAGTAAATTTAAAAGCCAAATTAAATAAAACATTATAATATATCCTTAATTTTTCCCTAAATTTTTAAATTAAAAATTAAAATTATATAAAAAAACACTTTATTATTTCCTCAAGTTTTTTAAATGATATATCCACTATAGAAAAAAGAAATAAACTTCTGTCAAAGACAATAACATATATTTATATATATTTGCCGAACATTTTTTAATTTTTGTTCTCAAAAACTTTTTTATAAATACAAGTATTTAACGAAATTCTCTGTTTTGAATTTTAATGGTATTAAATAACATTTACCGGCCTGAATATCCGATAAATTTTCATAATTTCTATCTTTCCCTATTTATATATTTTTTTATATTAAAAGGGAAATTCAAAATTTTTTTTCAATGCAATTTTCCTTCTCACGTTTTTTCTTTGAACATTTTCAAAACGCAACAAAATAATATTTTCTTCTTTGCAACTTTCTTTTTTTTATTTATTAATTAAACAAATTCTATTTATATTGTTTTTAAACATAAAAAGTATTCTACAATAAAATTTCAATAATGAAATCATTTGTCAAAAATTGGTCATAAACTTAAAAAAAAATTAAAAATACCATCTATTAATTGTTTCACTTTGTTCATTTCTTAATATATTATATATATATATATATATATATATATTTTTATTCAACAGTTTTTGTGTATATATATATATATATATATATATATATAATAATGTCTGAAAAAAAAAAAAATTTTCTTACATTTTTCGTTGGTAAAAAAATTTTGTAATGTACTAAAATGTTTTTCTCATTCTTTAAGGTAGGAGGCTATTTGTGTGCGTATAAGGGAGATAATGAATTTCCCTATTTGAATAAAATAAGAAAAGAATTATTGATAAAACGTAAACATCCTGTTTTTTTTGATTCAGAAGGCATGGTTTTGCAAGAAACTATTGTTCAAGTCAAACTTGCTTTTTACCGATAGAACATTGAGAAAATGTGGGTGGTTTGCTATGTAAGTAGCATGGAATGTTCTTGCCATGAAGGTTTGCCTTGGACGGACCAGATAATATTTCAAATCAGATTAATTTAACTTTAAATCAACTAATATTCTTCAAATAAAGTTTCAGCAAAGTGTATTTTATTTTTGAAAGATTTTTTAAAAATGTAATTACACTGTGGTGATGGGTTTCTTTAATTTTCTAAGATCATTTTTTTTTTAAATTTCAAAGCAAAAAACTTGTTTCCAGTCAATTTAAATTTTAATTTTTCTTATATAGCCAAGTATTTTTTCCTTATTGGAATATTAAATTTAAATTTAGCTTGAAATTAAAACTAAAATAAAAGGTTCAAGAAAGATTATTAATTTTTAAAAATCCACTTTAAATCTTAGGTATCACTTTCTGTAGAGGTACCTATATAATATATATGAAATTTGTCACTTAGCTGATTGATGTTAAGTGACAAATTTCATATTTGTATTAACCATATTGGTGCTTTCTCTGATATTAAGCATTTTATTGCAAAGACTGCTTGCCTTAAATTTCTTTTCTTTCAGTCTTCCACTAACTGATAGCATTTCTGGCTTTACAATTTTCATGTTTGGTTGAATAATTTATACATATATCTATTTTTATTTTAATCCTCTCAAATTTACAGATCAATTTCTTAGTGTTGTTATTAAACTGATTAAGAAAGATGCCATAATTTTTCTCATTCCTTTTATTTTTCCTAAAAAAATTCAATCTCAAGTTAAGATCATCTTTAAATTTTTTGAATTTTAAGACAAAAATTTAATAACTTTTTGTGTGTTGAAAACATTGTGTGTATTTGTATATATGAGAGTGTGCTAAAAAATTCTCTGGATAACTTACTTCTCAAATTCTGCATAAATTATCAAGCATCATTTTGTTTTTTTTACTTTTTTAGAAAGGGGTATTTAATCCAAAAAGTTTGGTTTTTTAATTGTTGTGTGTGTGTGTGTGTGTGTGTGTGTGTGTGTGTGTGTGTGTGAGTTCATATACACTTACATGTGGAAAGGCTTAGCTTAGATCAGCTGAGGCCAAAATAGAATTAAATGGCGGGTATTTCAGATTGAAAGAGACTTGAAAATTATCATTAAAAAATCTGACTTTTGCCTGAACTTTAAAAAGCAGCCATTTTCATCATTTGAATATATTTGACTAATCTCATATACAAAGTGCAATTTTAAAAAAAGTATTGCAGTTTAAATGAATCCTTTTATATTTCTGGACAATGTAAATTAATTTTTTTAGTTTTTAACATTATTGAACTTTAAAATCAAATATTCTAACTACCCTCCTAATACAAAGTTCAGTTTTATAAGCGGTACTCTCGAAAAGTAATTTTTCCTGTATATTTCTGTACAATCTGGAACAAATACTATGCCACAATAACACTATTGGACTTTTCAGCTACAAATTACTATTTGTTCACATAAACATCACTACTGACTGGACTATTGATCTTTTGGTGATAAACCTTTGTTTTAACGAAACCCTACATAAAATATCAAAAAATTACTGTCAAAATAAAATAAAATTAAAAAATAAATTAGAATAATATTATTCTATTTCATTAACCATTTTAATCTGAAATTAAAAAAAAAATTATAATGAAATGAACAAATTAAAATTTATTCAAACAAAAATAAACAGTGTTTAGTATGAAAATCTGATTTTTCACTTTTGCTTAATTCAGCACATCTTGTATATTGTTATTTAACTCATATTTGGTGAATTAAGAGATTTATTATTTTTCCCAAATCTTCAAAAATTTATTATAATAATAATGCAACTGACTTAAGCTGAGATTTGAACAGCATAACTATTCAAATTTTCATACACATTATTGATTCTATGTCACCCACTGAATTCAACATTCTATTT